AAAGAAAAACCTCACAGAAGCGATAGAAACAGGCATAGCAACCAACTATTCCACACTGTCAAGGGCTGTGGTCAAGCTTTCACTGCTCACAGTACAAGTCTCTAGAACTACAGCACATAACTATGAGCTATTTTTTCCACATTCATTCCCTGCTAAATGCTGTGGTCTCAGACAACCCCAACTCTTCTTTAACAAGATTTTCAACATTAACTTCCCCCACAGGCAGCCGGAAGCCATTCACTCACTCTGATAAATATCAAATGATGGAGGTCAACTTTTCAGCCCCAGATGCACAAAGAATTATGTTGGCAGGATCTGTACTCTTCTCAATAAAAAATGCCATAATTCAGAATCTCAGAAACCTCTTGATCAAATGTGCCTTGATACAAACATACTACCCCAAAGAAATATCAAATGATTTAATTATCTATATGGATGCTAACTTACTTTGTCCCATATTTTGCGCCATCAGACCACCTGACAAGACCGTACTATTGTGTGGCTGGTACTCTTACTACAGGAGTTCTAAAAACAGATTTTGCAGAAAACCTAGATACTGAAATTTGTGAACCTCGTTCTCAAACAGTTTTTCAGAATCCTTAGCTCTGCATTTTACATCTCTATCACCAAGGAAAGTGAGGCAGCCCTGTAACTAAACTAGACCAGTTCCAGAGAGAAAGTCTTAAAGACAGTCAAATTCTGAATTTGGTGTTTTGTGGACTTTTGAATTAATTACTGTGTTCACAAAAGTTAGCACAATGAGCAATCTACTGCGTGTTCTGCAGACAGTACAGATACCAAGCCGGCAAGTACTGTGCACTGTGCTTTTAGATGTTTCTGATAAAATGAGTGTTTAAAAAAAAACTACACAAATAAAATAAAAAAACAAGGGGAGTTCTGGGCAGTGAGCAGTCTATGTATATACTCAGGTAGCAGACAGGGTTTCTACCTTAACATCATGTGTAACGGGCATGTCCACAAGCAGCCTCTCTGTGAATTAAAGAGATTCTGTAGTAGAAGGAATAGTATGTATTACTTCTCCTTTATGATGGGCCTGAACCCCTAAGAACCTGGATAAGAGGATTCTGATGGACAGAAATAGAAAGGAGGATTGCAAATACATGTCTCAAAACAGCTGCAGGTGAGTAGGTAAAGAAGGAAGATTGGTAACTGTTTTAACACTCACTCACTCACAATCCAGGTGATTCTAGAAAATACCTCTTTAATATCTGTCATTTGGGAAAAGCTCTTCAGAGTCCCCAACCTGAAGCTCCTGAGCCAGGTACTGCTCTGCCAAATGCAGCATCACTTTTGGAGGTCTCATCTGAGACGAGAATGAAGGTGCAAACAAACCTTGAAATGGTGGCCCTGAAAACATCAGCTTCTAAAATACTATGTACAGGAGCCACCACTTTTTTGGTATGGGTTCTATCTACTTGAGCAGCTCCTTATGCAAAGTGGAGGCTTTCTAGTTGCAAAGTTATAGTACTCCTTTATAAAGAAGCAACAGCCTTCGAGGAGATTGGCAACTCCCTTTGAAATTTCCATTGTAAATGTGAAAATATTGAGGAGTCCCGAAAAACCTTTTGTTCTGCCCCGTATTACAAAAATAGCATCTAGCATTTTAGCCATGTGCAGTTGTTTCTGGTAAGTGAAAGACTTAGGAAAAGGCTAAACTGATTTCCTTGAATTACGTCATTAAACACCTCAGGCAAGACCTTAGGATCTATTTTGTGTGCAAAATTCAGGCAGTAGATCCAGAGTCTCCATGACAGCTGCAGTAACAGCCAGCTGTTGCAGTAACAGCCAGCTGCACTTTGATCAACAGAGACACACAAGCATATGAAGTGTTGGCTAGGAAAGGCTTTCCTGTTGTAAGAAAAAGAAACAGACTGAAGTTACATCAAAGGACCCAGCACTTTGTAGAATAATGTTCTTTGGTTAACTGTTAACAGAAGTCTACCACAAACAGCGTAAAAAACCAGAATAACTTCAGACAGAGAACTGAATGCTAAAACTGCAGCTAAATGAAATGAAACCCAGAAAATCTACTCCAAAGTACAGACAGCACTTTAGCCCACAAACCTTGTCAAAGGTCACTAAAGGACAGAATACAAACACCTGGAATCTGAGAAATCTTTTGTGATTTTTTCAAAATGCTCCTGGTTCCCAGAAGCTTCTGGAGCTTGAGGAGCATGACAGCTCAGGAGATTGGCTTTTCACTTCTCAGTGGACAGAAGTGCCACTACACACAAAGGACAGGATACTGGGCTGCACAGAATGCCACTGTCTCTCTCAGGTCCCACTTACAGGGAGAGCAGCCAAACGGTAGAGAAGCTTGGGAAGGAGGACAGTAATGGGATGAAAGAGGGCCTACATGTGTGGCCAGGTCATTTAGTCTCACATCCATTTTCTGGAGGTAAGTCATGTATAATGGGAAATAAGGACTCAAGGCAAGATGGCAGTGGGTCATTTACCTCCAGAAAATGGATGTGAGACTAAGTCATGTATAATGGGAAATAAGGACTCAAGGCAAGATGGCAGTGCACACCATCATGGCAATCGTGTGGAATTACCCTTGACAGAACTTTCCTGAAGAGCCAACAGACATGGTAGGAAAGCATTCTTGAAGATACCACTGTCTCTTTTATGGCTCTATGTTATGATGTAATTAACGTCAATGAACTGAGTCTCCAGCTCATCCACCATTTGAGAGAAATTAATTCGCTGCATGAGGGCCAACAGCATGCCCTTATGCATAGTGCTAGAGCAAACATTCCTTTAAAAGTACATATTGATACAGATAATGTGAATATAAAAACAAAATAATCACCCAAAGGAGAACACCAATTTGTAGTCAGAGGAAATCTGACTGCTGCTTTGAATAAGACTCTCAGCAGTCTTATCTCACATACGTAAAACCAAACTACTGAACTACAGTACTGAGAATCAGCCGCGCTGAGTTTGGTGTCTCTGTTCTTAACTTTGAGTCTACAGACAGTCTTTTTAAGATCAAAGTATGATTTAATGAACAGTACCAAAACACACAAAAATTTAAAATGAGAATCTGCATTTATATCCAACCATTCCTTTATGGTTGCCTAGTAAAGGAGTAGGTTTGTCAAATCCTACTACAGGTTCCTTCCTCCACTCACACAAACTGAACAGTTTCAGTTCAGTTTTCCTCCCAAAAGAGATAGCCAGTCCTCTAAATTGCTATAGTGCTTTGTTCTTTTCCATTTAAGCCTTATACCAAGCTGTTTTTTAATAATCAGGGGCACTGAGCAAGAGTTAATAAGTATGACTTCTGCCAATATCAGGATATCACTGAATTACTAGGATTGGGCAAATTATCAGAAACCAGCTCCTTCTCTACCTTCCTCTCCCCAAACTTTCTTGAGGCTTTGCCTTTGCCCCCACAAAAGATTCATAAAGTAAATATCCCAATGATTGAGTCAAGACACAGTAGTAATAGATATTTCTATGTTTATCACATCATCATCCACAGCAGTGCAATTGCATTACTGCAACACTACCAGGAACACTACGTACAAACCAGATTACCTCTGTTCCAGAAAATCTGAATTCAGGGTGAAACATGAAGAGGTCAGTTACAACGGAGAGAGAAAAAGAAGTCTGCCTTCCAAGGAAACAGTGGGAAAGGTTGAATTATTGGACAAACTAGATACCATAAGGGAAAATGGCTGCTTTCTAACCATATATATGAGTATAAAGCTAGGGATAAATAAGCGAAGGCTGAAAATCAGTTTTATGTCAAAGAATAGAGCCTTCAAGAACATCCTTCTAATAAGACAGTGAAGACAAAATCTAATTAGCTCCGAATTGTAATTCAATAAGCTTACCAACAGATTTAATACTGTAGCTATTTCCAATAAATGATGGGCTTACAAGGTACTTCAGTCCTTTGTTATGCTGCATTTTTGTTGTTGTTCTTTACATACTGTTTTAGACTACATCAGTGGCTTTTTAGTCCAGAAGTGCTCCTTTTTTCATATGAAGTAGTATCTGAACAGATCAGTGCTAGATATCAATTACTTGTATCTAAAAGCAGGAAAAGGGGAAAAAAAATCCAAACCCCAAAAAACCTAAAATAACTCTCCCCCAGAACTGTTTTATGTGACAAGATGAGTAAAACTGGTCATCCAGAAAAGTTCATCTATTCAGTCTTGGAAAGATACAGTTATATCATTCTCATCCCTTTCTCTAAACACTAAATGGTAACATCCCTCTTGAAGAAACGGTACATTAAATTCAAATTTTTCTTTACATTGTAGTTCAACCCTGAACTTTCTGGATTTAGACATTTGACTTCGAAAAAGACTCCTGTAAGTAGTACCCTTACGTAAACAAGAAATTCGTCTAGCTATTTTCAATATAGCATTCACCGTTTTTCCACATGAATTATCAACAATTATGCCAGAACTGAAGTAAGATTTCAAGTAAGCTGACATGGAATTTCGCAATACATTTGCAGGCAGGCATCAGAGGTAAAGACCTCTGCCTCCTCCCAGTCTAGTTTGTTCAAATACATGCAGCTCATGAAAAAGCAGGAAAACTGGGGGGGGGGGGGGGAGTCAGAACATCACTAACCTCTACCTGAAACAGTATTGTCTTTTGCTCAGTTCACAGGACACTGAACATCTACGCAGTGCATTGTTTTTTACTCTTCACAGCCTCCAGGAGAAGGAGGCACGTGTTTTCCTTGTACTCATCAGCAAGTGATCAGAAACACTGAGTCACTAGGACAAGGCCACATCAGTCATGGAAACACACTAAGAGCCTCATTGTTGCTGTCTTTTCAGTACACAAGATACAGGATGTTATTCTGTTTAGCATATAATTTTCCTGATTAATCAGCTTTCTTAGATTTTCACACTGTGTAATTTTAAAAAGCTTGAAGCTGTTAAAATACTAAAAATGGGGTATATTAAAGCCTTAAAGAGAAAAATAATTAAATCACAAAGATAAGCTGAACTTACAGTTTGTGATGTCAGGAGGGGCATAACTGTCGTTCATGAACATGCTGGTGGGTTTTGCAACTTTCAGATAAACAAAGTCAGCTGTGTTTTTTAAGGCAGTCACTGCTTCTTCATGAGTAACTTCTTCTAAGCAAACACTGTTCACCTAAAGATAAAAAAGTAAACAAATTCTCAACACAGAAAAACGTACATTTTCATAAGACTCACTGAAAGCTGCTGGAGCACTCTGGCATTGAGAGTTTTTATTGGGATTCATGTGCCACAGACATAATTGGTTATATAAAAGATGCTTTGTAGTGCTGTGAAATATAAGGAAGGCAAGTCTTTCCTCAAAAGATTATAATAAACTGTATTGACTGTAACACTGTAAAGAAGGCACGCATGACTTTGGAAAACTAACGGGACAAGTATGACACTCAAAATGCCATAAGAATGCACACTCACAGCACTGACACAGTATGTTATTGCAGGCATTGAATAGAAGACAGTTTCTTGTAGTCAGAATAAATCCTACATGATCTTCTCAGTTCTAGACATTATAATAGGCCAACATATTCTCGCAAGAGGTCAAAAGTAGGGATCAAAACTGGGGAAGATCCCAAAGTGACTGACTGATTTACATGCGAAGTAACAAGAACTAGTTTAACTTTACAGGAAACAGATTTTTTAAACTATTGCTACTAAGGTGAAACGCTAGCACTTCAGTTAAAAAAAAAATTAAGAAATCCTTTAATAATTAGTATCTCTCATAAAGCCTTACTGAATTGAGTTGCTGACCCTCTCTTCCATATTTTGAAGAGAGAAGTAACTTCTGCAGATAATTCCAGGCAACGTGGGAAATAAGGCTTGTACCGCACTGAACCTGACGGACCAAAGACACTTTCCTCTGTTTGATTACTTAACTTTATATACCGTGTAAAAACAATTGGGCCTTGTCAATTCTGTTATTTGTGGGGGGAAAAACTCTACTGCTTAAATATATTCTTTCCATATGTATTTTCTAAGAGTTTCCTAAAAGTTTTCTGAATGCCTCTGATATTTTTTTTTCAAAACAGATTTAAACTGCTACCACTCCTGATGACTGACAAGTCATTTTGCAGTGCATTGCTAATTGCAGTAAAACCTAAACACACAGACAGAAAGTTACATTCTGCAAAATATGGGAGCTTATCTCTACAGTAGCGACTAAAGCTTTGACTAAGTGAAATTCAGCTAATCAGAAGATATTATAGATGACATTTTACTCACTTCTTTCCTAACTTAATGAACTGAGGGAATGATTACAGCGACAATAAATCAGGAAATTGTAATTACTATATCCAATAGCATACTGCATATGCTCCTTGCATCCCCAAAACAGTATCTGATATTAATACAAAGCTATTTTATTTAATTCTGTCAGGCAATTTTTTTTAATGGATAAAGTAATACTGGTCAAAGTAATCTGTCTCAAAAGTTAGGTATTTGTAACAAAAATTCCTTAAAACCTTCCATATATTTTACAATATAAGCAAGTTAGCATGAAATTTTCTTGTACAGGTGACAAATTATAACTCTGAAAAGCAGTTCGCCATTAAAAGGAAGCTGTCCAGTGCCCTTACATTGTGGGGAAGTCCTGTAATCAAAACACTTCCTATGATGCTGATTTTAAAAGTTAAAAACATCAAATATCAACAGCACTGTCATCAAGCAGCTGGATCTTTGGGTTTGTGAATTTGCATGGCATATGAAAGTGTATATTTATTGTGCAGTTAATAGTAAACATAATATATTCTCTCTTTTTTTTCCTCCCAATTGTCATGTGAGGATTTGCCCATGTCTTGAGCTGATTTCACAGAACTATCCACTGTAACACCAAGATCCCATTCCTAATACTTCAAAAAAAAGCAGGATTCTTTAGATAAAGGGATAATCCCCAGGATCCTTTATCTTTAAGTAGCTTAAGTTTTCCCAGCTCTGTATTCTTAAGTGGCAAACTCATCCAAAAAGTCTTTTCACAGGTGGGAAACTCTGCACTAAACATTTAGAGTCACTTTCTTGCTGTTCAAAGAGCAAAAGAGCACACATTCTGCTGTCATGTACTCTGAGTACAGATGTACTCAGAGCTCTTACAGAAGCAGGTACTGCCTGGTAGATGTAGGAGGGTGGAGCAATTACACCTAACAAGAGTTGAGTTTACAATTCAGAAATTCATTCAGAAATTCCTGGCTCTGGCTCTTGTTTTTCTAGCTGGACAACTAGATTTCCAGATGGAATTTAAGGAAGTTGAAAGTTATTTTTACTCTGTGCATAGAAAATTCAGCTTTGAAGTCTTTTAAGTTTTTTTTAAAAAACAGCCATTCAAAAGCATTACAAACACTGAAATCCAATATAAGCAGCAGTTTCACTACAGGCTGGCCAGCCACCAGTACATGGAGTTCCTTTCCATTCTTCTTTTTTGAGATGAGAAACAATCCCATTGTAGGCTGATTTACATACCCGTCACTCAGATCCCAGAAAAATAATAGCAGGCATCAGAAATAAACAGGCTGATTAATACAGGTTTTGCATGAAACATTGTGCTGAGGAACAGATTTCAGATTTCCTGATGAGATGGTGTTGAACACTGCAGATTTAATTTTTATCATTGATTGCCCGGCAATATCAATTTTCTTTACCGATTTTTATGAAATAACACTCCACCAGCAGGCAGCTTAACCACAAAGTGAATCATGCCCCTACTGGGCCTAAAAGTGAATGACCATTAAAAGAA